CTCCAGCATCCCCCCTACCCTCAGGCCCAGACCTTGCTGATTCCATTGGGACTTCAGGAAGTAAGTTGGGGTCAAAATGGCTCTGGGGAGATACATTACTGATAAGTGGAAACAAAGGTGCTCAACCTCAGAAGCATGCCGGGAAATGGGCATTCAGATAAGTAAGACACTTAGAGCGTGGGGTGCCTGGGTGGCTCAGCTGGTTAAGCGTTTGCCTTCAGCTCAGGTCATGATCCCAGGGTTCTGGGATCGAGCCCCGCCTCGGGCTCCCTGCTCAGTGGGAAGCCTGTTTCTCCCTTTCCACTCCCCCTGCTTGTGTTCCCTCTCTCTCTGTCAAATAAATAAATAAAATCTTTAAAAAAAAAAAAGGGGGGGGGAGCCTGGGTGGCTCAGTCGGTTAAGCCTCTGCCTTCGGCTCGGGTCATGATCCCAGGGTCCTGGGATCGAGCCCCGCATCGGGCTCCCTGCTCAGTGGGAAGCCTGTTTCTCCCTTTCCACTCCCCCTGCTTGTGTTCCCTCTCTCTCTGTCAAATAAATAAATAAAATCTTTAAAAAAAAAGACACTTAGAGCGTAAAACAGGAAAGGGATGGGATGGAAATGTTCTCTAAACCAGGGTGCTTGCTTACACTCAGTGACAATTTTCAATGAACATAAATGACAGTATGTTAAGACTTTTTTGGGGGGCGGGGGAACGCCTGGGTGGCTCAGTTGGTTAAGCATCTGCCTTTGGCTCAGGTCATGATCCCGGGGTCCTGGGATGGAGCCCCGAGTCAGGCTCCTTGCTCAGTGGGGAGCCTGCTTCTCCCTCGCTCTCTGCCTGCCGCTCCCCCTGCTTGTGCTCTCTCACTGACAAATAAATAAAATCTTTAAAAACAAAAAAAGGTTTTTTTAATATCCAAAAAGGAGTATTACACCAATAAAACATACTGGTATCTCCATAGTTCCAAATGCACTGAACACAGGATAACCCATATTGTGATACCCTGTTCCAACTCTTGTCCACATGGGGGTTTCTCAGAGTGGCTCTGGGTCCTGGGGGGCATAGGCAGTGCCAAAGGGTGAGGCCATCCGTCTGCAGGTGGCTGCTGACATGGCCGTGCTTCCTGGAGCCCCCTGAGGTCCGCCCGCCTCTTCTAGGACGTTGGACTCTGGGCATCTTTGCTGCTGCCGGCCGAGTGGTGTGGAGTCCTGCCTGAGTCCTGCCCCCACCCCACGCCCACCCCCATCTCCAGGCACCTCGCCTCCCCACTGAGGGTACCTCCCCGAGATTCATCCTCTCAAATCCCGGGTTCCCTCCCTTTCATGATGAGGCCCCATGAAACCCAAAGCCTGATATTTGGCTCTCCTTGACTTGAGGACAGGAACGGCTTCACCGAACCCTCCCAGGAGGCAAGGGCAAAACACTTGGACTCACGCTCCTGAAGCTACAGACGAAGAGAAGGCAAAATATACGTTTCCGTCTTAAAGTAGCCCGAAAGTTCAGGATACCCCACCCACGTGCCTGTTCGGGTTCAGGTTCGGGTTCCCAAGACACTAAATAAACTTGCTGCAGGAGCTGCGGAGGTAAGTTCTGTATTAGGTCCACTTTGCTGTTGGCACGCTAAGGCCCAGAGAGGTTAAGTCACTTGTCTGACGTGGCCCAGCTGGGAAGCATCGTGACCTGGAGGCAAAACACAGGTGCTGCAGCTCCGGGGCACAGGCTGTTGGCCCCAGGGCGAGGGAGGGACACGCCACACACCGGGCTAGGGGCCAGTCTCTCTGGCCTGCCCAAGGTCAGCAGCGATGCCCACCCACTCGGGCAGGAAGGCCGCTTGGGGCTTGAAGATCCAGTGGAAGGGGGAGCCGGGCAGGGTGAAATTGGCCAGGTAGACGGTGTCCCCCCCTGCCAGGTAGGCGGCCCAGATCCCGAACGTCCCAATGGTCATGATGGTGTGGTTACACTGCGTGAGCAGCGCAAAGTCCCTGGCGGGGGAGCCCTGAAGGCCATTGCCAGCGAACACCACGTCCCCCCGGGAGGCGTTGATGTTCTGCCGACACCAGGCCATGTCATCGCTGGTGATCACGAAGACTGGGGAGCGGTAGCGGGCCCGGAACCAGTCCAGGGCCCGGCGCAGGTAGCCCGGGTCGGCGACCACGCCCTTCCACACCCGCGGCATGACGCGCACGTAGTCCCCCCGGCGCACGTGGACCCCCACGAAGGTCGCCCGCCGGGCCCACTTGGCCTGCAGGCCCCGCAGAAACTTCTGGGCGTCCTCCCGCACGTGGTCGTGCAAGGTGAACTCCCGCAGGATCTCGTCTCGCAGGTGGTGGTAGAAGGTCCAGGAGCAGGGGTAGCCGGTGAGGCGCACGTACTCCCCGGGGATGCGGCGGTAGCGCTCCTCCATCCAGTCGTTCAGGTGGTAGTTCCGCCACGGGATCCTGCTGGCCGTGGTGTCGTGCAGGACCGGGAGGCTGATTCGGAAGATGGGGGCCAGCGTGCTGTGCATCGCGGCCGGGATGAAGGCCGGCCGCCCGTTCATCTTGGCCAGGGCGTACAGGGTGGCGTACTCCCCCATCTGGTTCCCCAGGCGGCCTTTGGCGTTGATGGTGAACATGCCCCCCATGGGCAGGTGTCTGGGGAGGAGGAGCACGCGGCCTGAGTAGGCCCAGGGGGTGGGCACCAGGGCCAGGCGGTGATGGGAGTGGAAGACGGTCGACACCACCAAGAGGGTGAAGAGGAAGTAGATGGTGGAGAAGGACGGGCAAGTGGCCCGGAATCCCATGATGGCTGGGGGGGGGGGAGAGGACACAGTCAGGAGCGACGGCTAGGGGCACCCGAGCCTTGTTCACCCCCAAATCATTCGTTCCCACACTCAACTCCTCCAAGCAAGGCTAGGGGCATCCAACGCGCCCTGACCCACTTTCTGCTCTCCCTTCTACCTGCGGTTTCCCTGAGGCTGCGGCTCAGGAGTCTCGTGGGCAGAAGGAAGCACTGGGTGGCAGGACCCTCACTCCTCACACTCTGCCTTCTGTCCATCCCCCGTCCAGGTGTCCCATCTCCCCTTCTGCCAGCCCCCTTGAATGGCAGGGTTCCGTGGACCTTGCCTCAGCTCTCCTCCTCCTCCAATATTCCAGGGCTCCTCCCTTTAGTAATCTGCCCCTTTGGGAAATCTGAACACTCCTGGGCCCTCCTCAAATGTCTCTTGTTCAATGTGGGTACCCAGCGAGGTCGGCTGGCTCTTCCACAGGAGGGCTAAGTAGGACATCACCCTCCCTCCACTGGGGGGGGTATAAGAAATGCCCTGCCCGCTGCTTCAGTTGCCAAAGAGTGAGCCCCTCTTCTCCCTGGGCTGGTGACAGCTCTGCCCCAATCCCTATCACACCGCCGGCTCAGCTCAGGTCCTGCCTGGGGCCAGCTTGCGGGGCCGGCCAGGTCCCAAAGCCAGAGCAGGTGAGCCGAGCAGGGACTGGAGCCTGGGCTACTGGGGAGGAAGCAGCCACTCGGGACAAAGGTACCCACCGCGCAGGGCCACCCCCATGGTGTGTGACCTGTGCGGTTGCCCAGGGCCCGCACTCATAAGGACCTACGCTTCACTCAGCTGGCTCAGTCAGTAGAGCAGGCGGCTCTTCGTCTCGGGGTTGTGAGTTTGAGCTGCGTGTTGGGGGCAGAGTTTACTTTTAAAAAATAAAGGGGGGGGGCTGCACTTGATTTAATGCTCTGCTCTCACTGGCTAGAAATGATCAATACATCCGAATAAGGCACCCCATGTTTTCATCTCGGGTTCTGCGAATCCGGCAGCCCGTCCTGAGGCCACCCTCTGTCCTTGAGTCTCAAGCGCTCCCTCTCCTGGCTTTTTGTCAGGAAAGTCTCAGAAAAATAGCGCATCAGGGCTGTGGCACTGGCCCCAGCACTTACTCGCCCCATCCGCGATTCCTTACCGGCCACCTTCCTAAAGAGTGGTGGCCAACCCCCATCTGAATTGAACTCGTTTGGGGACAAAACGTGGCCTGAAGTGACCTGCGGCTACCTGGAGACTTGACTTAATGTGATGCCCGTGTGTTCTGCTGCAGAAAAGATAATGTTCAATTATGGGATGCTGCCCAGACCCCGCACCCCGCCATGGGGCGACGCACACGTTCTGAACCACGTCTGGTCCAAAGAGGTTCAGGAATGAGACTGTGGGCCTGTCTTCACTCATTTAGGCCTCATGCTCTCCTGGGAGGAAGGCGCATTGTTAGGCACATCTAACGGATGAGGCCGCTAAGGCCCAGAGAGGTTAAGAAACCTGCCTTAGGTCACAGAGCTAGGAAAGAGGGAGTGCGTGGAGTTGAACCCCGGGCACTGTGGCTCAGCAATCTGTGCTCTCCATTGCTGTAATGGATTTTTCGAGGCTTCCTAAGGGAGAGCACTCAGATGCACGTTCTCCGTCCAGTTATACGCGAGTACGACTTGCCCTGCCTCGTGGGGCCTCTGTTATTTCTCGGCCACCGAGGTAGGGATGAAAGATCTCTGGAAGCCCAGAGCTGTGGGTCCCACCCTGCTGAGCCACCACAGAGCTGTGCCCCAGGGTGGTCCTGCCTCCCCTCTGGGGCACTGTGAGGGTGAAGGTGCCCAATAATTGAGGAACTCCTCCAAAAAAAAAAAAAGTCTCCATCCCAACTTGGAGAATGCTTTCCTCTCAGCTCTGGCTGCTTCTGCCCTTCCCCCAACACCACCACCGAAGGCACCTTCAAGGGGTGCTAATCGCCTCAAGCAGCTCAGGCTGTGAAAAACAAAAGTGAGGAAGAAAGCTTCCCTCCAGGTCACATTAGCTTAAGAAACTTCTTGTCCCGGGGAGGGGAGGAAAATAAAGCAAGATCTAAACCTTCTCGAATTTTCTCTGGTCATTCCCTCTGCCCTGGTCACTCCTGCCTTGATGATGCCCGAGTGGCTTGCCCTCACCACTTTCAGGTCTCAGACCAAATTACCCTCCAGACCCCCACCCCTGCCCCCACTTCCCTGCTTGCTTTTGCTCTGAAGCGCCTGTCGCCTTCTGGCTCTTCTCTAGAACAGAATTACTTACTACTTTTCTGTAGCGATCTCTCCTCTAGATTGTAAACCGGACAAGGGTGCGGAGGCGGGGGGATCGTGGACGAGTTTACCCTGTCGCTCACACCGCCTGTCCCCGGAACCAGTATGCCCCCTCGGATTTGGGGGTGTCTCCGCTCCTAACCCCTTTCTCTTGCAGCCAACTCCTCCCCACAGCCTAATTTCAAATGCGATGTCCCTGTCCTGACTCCTGTCCAGGCTCGCCCCTCCACGGTGGCGCAGGGGGGTCCCCTGGAACCAGAATCACAGACTGTCCTGGCTGCGGCCTCCCAACCCCCAGGACAGGCTCTCGCCAGCAGGGGGGGCCCCCAAATCCCCGTCAGGTCCACACAGCCCCACAATAAGCGCATGCAAAGCCCTGGGCTCCCGAGACCCTTGCTCTCCTCAGCGGGAAGGGGTGGAAAGCGTTATTTTTCTAGTCAAAACCAGTGGGTCCATAATGGTTGACAGGCACATTGGCATGAAAATTTCGTCTCTGAAGTGTTGAGGCCTTGCAGGAAACTGGCCATGGGGACGCTGGCTTTGAGCTCTGTCCCTGTCCCCCTCGGGGTCCCTGCTCTCTCCCTCCAACTGGGACAAGGGAGGCCTAGGGATTCTGCCTCCTCACTTCCTTCCCCACCGTCTTAGAAAGCGGCCCGATTCTTTGGGGTTCCCGGTGGCTGCCCACATCCTTCCAAAAGGCAAGTGACTCACCTTAACGCTCAGTTTACCCACAGCTGACAGAAGGGTCCAGAAGGGAGGAGATGCTGGCTGGGGGTCCCACCGCCTGGCAGGTCAGCCCCTTCCCTTCCCGATGGACCGCACCACCACGTGGTGGGCTGAGCCCGGCTGGCCTAACGCCTGCCTGCCTGCTGTGGGGAGTGGGTGGGGCAGGGGTCTGAGTGTCAGTGCAGCGGGGACCCCAGACCTGGGAAGCCCATGGGGCTGCCGTCCCATCCTACCTGCCTTGAGCCTCCTGGGCCAGCATGCTCGGGGCTGCCCGGTTTCGGGCCCCCCTGGGGCGACATCGCTCACGTCCCACACAGTCCTGGGTGGCGTGGCTGGCTGGGGTCCCTGCGGGGAGAGCGTGGCTGTGGTTGGCGAGGGGACTGGGGCGGGGGTGGGGGTGGGGGGGAGCGGTAGTGGTGTTGGATTCTGCGGGCTCTGCTCTGAGCTCCCGCCCAGAACCCCCACTAGCCTGGGGCCTGACAACAGCCACTCAGCACTCACTTCTGAGAGCCCACGCCGCCGCCAAGCTCCTGCGGGAGGGAAGAACACGTGAGGAGCTAACTGCAGGGGACACGCTCTTCTTGGGTGCAGGTTTGGCCAACATTAGGGGCAAAGGGTGGGGTGCGTGCAAAAAAGCCAGGGAAGAGGAGCCTGGGTCCCAGATGGACCCCTCACGGCCCAGGCATGGGGGCCTAACGATGGGTCTGGTGGGAGCTAGACTCTGCTCCTTAAAGGGGGGTGGGACTGGGCTCCGGCTCCCAGAGGGGTAGGGGCTAAGGGCTGGACATCTGGGTTCCCAGATGGGCAGGGGCTGGCTTCTGGATCCTCCAGGAACACCGGGGGACTTGCGGCCTGGCTGTCCAAGGTGCTAAGTGCCAGAAAATGGTACCCCGTGAACCACCCAGGCAAGAAAGGAGAGGTAGGAGATGGGGGCTCGGTCCTTAACGAGGCTGGCGCTAAGGGACAGGGCAAATGCCCGGGGCCGCAAGTGCACAAAATGGCGCCAGGCTCATTGGGAGGGGCGGAGGGTGATACCCGAAATCTGGGGCCCAGGGAGGTTGTCTCTGCACATGGCAACCGCAGTGGGGACACTGAAGGCTGTGAAATCAGGCTGGGGGTGTCTGTGACCCCAGCTGCACCCCCAGATGCCTCACAGACTCCCAGCCAGGAGCAAGCCAGGGGCGTGGACAGTGGGGCCCAGAAAAGGCTCCAAGGCCCCCAAACCTGAGGAAGTTCCTCATTAGCGGCTGCCGGCCCTGGAAGGGGAAGATGGGGGATGGAGGACTTTCAACACTAAGTCCTTCCTAGCCTCTGCCATCCCGGGGTCTGGACTTCAGGCCCCCCTCGGACGTCCTGGCATCTGGCCCTGCCCTGCCTCTCTTTCTGCCCCCACCCTCGCCGGCACCTGTCACCCCCCACATCTGTTCCCCTTTCTAATCTGGGGACCTTAGGGTGGGTAGAGAATGTGGGGGTTCCGCTCTCCCGACCCCGAGGCCTAGGATGGCAGGCGGGAGTGGGGAGGGCTGAGATTATCAGGAAGTCCTCCGAAATTTAAGGACAGGGTCCTCCCACCCTGAATTCTCAGGGGGACTCAGGCATCTGCTTTCCTAACCCCCCTCTCCAGCTCCAGAGTGACCCAGGCTTCTAGTCCCCGCATGACCCCCTCCGGTTCCTTAGCACAGTTCTCTGGGCTTTGCACCCGGGCGGGAAAGGGTTAAGGCTGGGTGGAGGCTGGGGGTGGGTGGCAGCGGAGGAGGCTGCTGGGTTGTTTGGCGATAATCCCCCTCCGTGCCCTGGGTGTGGAGAACAAGGTTAGGGCCCCACGTGGGAAAGGGCCTCTGCTCTGATCCTCGTGGGCCAGGGGCCTGGCCTCCCGCTTCTGATGCCCCGCAAGCCCCTCCCCTGCTTCCCCTCCCCGCCTCCCCACCGACCAGGCTAGCGAGGCCCTCTGTTCTCCTCTTGCTCCCTGGGGGTGTCTCTGAGCCCCCAGTTCTGTCTTGTCTGCCTGTCTGTCTGTCCTGGCCCCAGGCTCCCTGCGACTCCATTCCCGCCCCACCCCCAACTCCCTGTGGATCTGGGTGTCCAGCCGCGATCTGTCTGGGCCTTCCGGCCTCCCCTTATGTTCGGTCCTCTCTCCTCATGGTTCCTTCTCTGCACCTGGCCCTTCCCTTCCGACTTGGGTCGCCTCCTCTCTGTCTGTCTCTGCTGTCCGTGCCGCGCGGTCCCTTTCTCTCTTTATTTGACTCTGCTCTTCTTCATCTGTCTCTAAGTCCCCCTCCCTGCTGCGGTCTGTCTAGGTTTCTCCATCTGTCCCCACCCCTTGCCCTCTCCCCAGGGCCCCCACCCCTCGACACTGACGATAGCTCTGGGGTGTTAAGCTACAGATTAGTTCAGGCAAAATTCTCAATTTTGCTTGCGTTCTTTTCCCTTTGGGTTATGTAAACAGTAATTCTCCCCAGATGGAACTATTTTCCTCGCTTAGAAGCAGCCGGGGAGGGGGCTTGGGCAGGGCTGGGGGTGGAATGCCGGGGGTTCCTCAGAGAGCCTGGGGGCGGGGAGCAGGGTGGAGGCTGACCCATGAGGGCAGCCTGAGGCCCTCAGCCTGATCTCTCCTCTCCAGGTACTTGCTCTGCTAGGACCATGCCCGTGACCTTTGCCCTCTTGCTCCTCCTGAGCCAGGCCACCACCGCAGACCCATGTTACCATCCAGGTGGCCGCCCCCGCTTCTGCCTCCCACCAGTGACCCGGCTGGCTGGCATGGCCGCCTCCTGTCCCCAGGCCTGTGCCCTCTCCCTGGGGGCGGACCTCAGCCCCCGGGCCACCTGCAATGGCAGTCTAACCCTGGCCCTGGGTGGCCCCTTCCTCCTGACGTCTGTCAGCCTGCGCTTCTGCACCCCAGGATCCCCAGCCCTGGTCCTGTCTGCTGCCTGGGCCACCGGAGGTCCCTGGAGATCGCTGTGGCGCAGACCTGCCTGGCCTGGGGCCTTGGGGGGCCCCGAGAAGGTGACCTTCCGAGCCCCACGGGGCCCTAAATCCAGCGTGGTGGTCAGTCACCTCCGCATGGAGTTCGGGGGCCGGGCGGGGCTGGCAGCGGCTGGAGTGAGGGGCCGCTGCCAATGCCATGGCCACGCAGCCCGCTGTGCCGCCCGCACCCGGCCCCCCCGCTGTCGCTGCCGCCACCACACCACCGGCCCCGGGTGCGAGAGCTGCCGCCCATCCCATCGAGACTGGCCCTGGCGGCCTGCCACGCCCTGGCACCCCCACCCTTGCCTGCGTGAGTCCTGGGCCCCCTCTTCCCGCCCTCCCCCACCCCCAGCCCGGCCCCCCGCCCGACTCTCCAGCATATGGTCCCTGGTCCCCACGGGCACTGTGCTCTCTCCCTCCCTAGGGCACCTTGCTCCTTGCTTCACCCCCACTGTTCCTGAGCTGGTTCCTCTCGTCCCCTCCCCCACAGCGTCCCACCTGCGCCCCACCTGCCTGCCCCAGTCCCTGCCGCCCCCCCCACATCCAGTCTCTGCCCCACACGCCGTCAGATGCTGCTACGAATAACATTTCCTGCGTGAGCGTGGGGAGCAAGGCAGCAGGACCTCCCAACGCATCAGACCCACCACACAGGGGATGTATTTACTCATTAAGTACCTATGTACCGATCACCTATGTACCAGGCGGGTTTTATCATCAGGTCCGTTTCATAGACAAGGAGATGAGCCTAGAGGTGAGAAGTCCCTTGCACAAGGACACACAGCTAGTGAGTGGCAGGGTCCGAATCTGAGCTCAGGGAGTCCAGCGGAGGGGGGGGGGTGGTCTTGGCTTGTCCCTGCCAAACTCCTGTCAGGGGCCGTCACGCTAGGTACTCTAGGGTGACAGATAGGCACACAGGCTCGGCAGCGAGCCAGCCAGCCAGTCAGCCTGGGCTCAAATCCCAGCTCCTTTGCTTCCCAGCTGTGTGACCACAGGCAAGTGACTTGACCTCTCTGTGCCTCCACCTCCTCGCCTGTAAAGTGGGGACAGTAACAGCATTTCTTTCACAGGCTGTAGTGAACATCCAGTGGGTCGATATGCATCCTTAGAATAAAGCTTAGTGTGGTACCTGGCACCGAAGAAGAGCTTGCTTCGCATCTACCAATGTTATCATTCCCCAGATGAAGAAGGGGGGGGGCCCCTCGAGGGGATGCACCACTTGCCTTAAGGCTCAACGCCAGCAAGGGGCAGTGCTGGGACTGGACTCAGGGAGGCAGACCTTCCTAGATAATGGGTGATCCACGGGGCCATGCAGCTAGACCAGCGCTCCCTAGGCCCAGTCCACACCCTCTCCCCTCCCCCGTGTTTCCAGACCTGGAGCTTCCAGAGTCTGGGCCCTTCTCCATTGCTCCAGCAGCCCCTCCTCAGAGACAGCCCTCTTTCTTCCACGCCAGCCTGCAGGCCTGGCTAGAGGGTCTGAGTGTGGTACCAGGCCCTGGGAAGTACCTCTATTCTACCAACAGATAGACACACACACACACCCCCCTCCTCTCTCTCCACTCTCCAGTTCTTTACCCACTCCCTCCTCTCTTTCTTTCTGCCCTGCCCCGTGGAGGAACTTACAGCCCATCCCACCATCCTTGGCTCCCCACTCTGTCCTCATCTCCCCTGGGGTCTTCCTAGACCCTCCGCCCCCACCACCTCTGGTCCATTCCCACCAGCCAGATCCGAGGCCCCTGCAGGATGGGGACGGGGAGGAGGGGAGACTCACATTGCCTGGGGGTGGGATTTGGTTCATCCTGGGCCTGGACGCGGCCTGGGAGCTGGGAAGGTCGTCCCTCTGAGGATCACCACATTGCTCCAAGCTGAGCATGGCACTGGCCTCTGAACCTGGGTAAGAAGCCGACGCTGATGTGATAAAGCAGGGTCTCGGACGGCGTGGGACCGCGTCCTGTGGCAGAGCTGCCGGCTTTATAGGCACGGTGCTCTGAACCCCTTCCCGCCACCTGAGTCTTCCAGACGGAAGTGAGGTGAAGTGATCACCCTCAGGTCAGAAAGAATCCAAAGCCTGATTCTTCCCACCAGTAACCTGAAGAGTACTGCTACCTCTTAAGGCCCACGACAACCCTGGGAGAGAGGGGCTGAGATCCCCACTGCACAGGAGGAAACCAAGGTTTAGGGAGGCGAGTCGTTCTTCCAAGAACACACAGCTGCTTCGGCGTCCTGACCTTCCCACTGCTGCCCCTCTGTTTTCGGCACCTGCCAGCCGAGGCCTCCCGAACCCCTCGGGAGTCAGAAACTCCTTAAACCTCTCCCAAGAATGGTCCATGAACCCCCTCCCGCGGCATCTCGCTCAGAAACGCTGGCTAGAAACACAGA